GCCGCTCGCAAATAGGTATTGATATAGTATATACCTTTGAAAGTATATTCATAAATTTTTTTGGAATTTTACAGGCAATATTTTTGAGAATTATCAAGTATAGTGCAAACCAAAAAAGATATTTGATATTTTTTTTTGTAATTTTAGCCTATTTTGTAATTATGTTTCTCGAGTTCTAGCCATGTAAAAAAAGCGAACTTCTGCAATTCAGTTGTAGAAAGACCATTTGGCGTTTTGCAAGAACATCCCTTCCCATCATAACATGATAAATGTGCTGATGAAGTCTCGCCTAAAGACGGCGCTTCAACTCTTCATGGGCATTTGAAGAATGAAGCATAGATGATTGATAAAGAGAAGGCAACAGAGTGAGAAAAGAATGACAAAGTGAAGTGCCTCTACACCCTTGCACTTGATAAAACAAATGGGCGCTAAAGAAAGTGACCAAGGTTTATGCAGGGAAAGAATAATTTCAAAAAAAAATTGGTAAGAATGTCTAGGTCTGCGAGCCTTCACGTTGAATGCAATCATGAAGTTATACCTAATTAAAAACTTTTCCAATGAAAACTAGCACGACAAAACGCAAAATTGCACGTACTTAATTCCAGAATTTAAATTATGATATCAGAGAAAGAATTTGATGGGAAAGCGAAACTGTTTACTGATTATCTTTTTCTTATCAGCGTATCAAATTTCTTGCATCAGGTAAACTTTATTGTGAAATTAACGGGAAAGTAGCGCAAGCAAGATTAATTTGCTTTTGGATTAATTTGATGTGTACAATTCCTTATCCAAATTCAAGTAATCCGCATGTTTGTAGCCTATCACCAGTACAGTGTTCGGTTAGTTTAATCATCGGGAATGTAGGATTTGAACATGATAAGAAACAAAACAGAATGAATGTAGAAAGAAGTGTATTACCCCGAACAATTTTTTGTGCCGCTCAGTGTACCGCGTTGTAAAGAAGATGGATCATATTCAACCGATCTTTATCAACAGCGTTTATGAAAAAATGCACTTTGAAGATGCATGAAATGTGATTGTTGTGGTTATGATCGGTGCTGCAAATCGTTTTTTAGAGTTTCTTGTGCTGACCTTGATTTTTTTTTCTTTATATGAAAGGCGTGTGTTTATAGGTTTTTGGCCTGCGGGCCTTCGTAACTTGCTAGTTTATCAAGAAACAAATAATCAAGTCCAATCAGCAATGATATTGGTGGTGAATATTATCAATAGAGAAACTAAACGAAAGTGAAGTTTTAACTTTAGTGGAAAGAAAAAAAAACTTTGTTCTTGTACTAGCGAAGGTATTTATAAATCGATAAACATGGTTCTTATTCTAAAAAAATTTGACGAGTCAGGCCTTTTCAGTTACTTGGGAGTTTTTTCTCACATTTTCCCATAAAGGATTAGAGCAGTGAATGCAGTCATTTGCACAGTTTATTCTGCTACCAAAAAAGTATACTTTGCTCTCAACTCTCTTTGGTTATTCAGCTAAATTCTTAAATCTCAGTTTTCATCAACTAATGAGGATTATGAGTTACTCAATGACCTCGAGACAGAATAAACTCCAGTGTTGTGAATGTACACTGAAGATGAATACAATTAAGATGAATTCATGAGGCTCTAACAGCCAATGGCTCTACTGTGAAAAATAAGAGGCCGAAGTTATCGCAGTCGTCTCTTAAAAGCAAGGCTCGGCACAGGTGGACTGAAGGCAGTGGATCAGCAAAATGGGCCCTAGTCAGATTTTGGTAGTTTCAGGTAGTATGCCTCCCAAGTACACCATAGCCCCAATCCCACCCTTCAATTTATGCGCTAAGTGCTGTAAAGGAGCTTCGAAACTCCACCAGCCCCGCCCACTTACATTGAGTGGGCGTCATTTATGGAGTCCAAAGCGTTTTTTTTTCAGGGCTTGGCGTATGGATTGGAGAGGTGGAATTGAAGCTACGGTGTATTTGGGGGCATAACCTGAAACTACCAAAATCTGACAGGGATCCATTCCGCTGATCCACTGCCTTTAAAGCAGCGTCCCCTAAAATGACAAGTGCAGGGCTTTTGCAGTATTCCAATGGTGGACCCTCCAGCTAATCTATCAGTGAAGTCTGGAGCAGAAAAGCGTTTCTGGAAAGCCCAAAATTCACTTCAGAAATCCTCCGAATCCCGCCCATTTCCAGGCTCCGCCCACTTCTTACACGTAATTTGGAGCAAACGCCGGCACGGAGAACTTCGAAAAAAGCTCACTTTTGCCATTTTCAACTGCTGAAAACCTAAGATGTGCGTCAGCATGGCGAGAAGGCTCCGAAGAGATGAAGAAACGGTGAACGTTTTTGCCGGGACGCTGCCGTCAAGAAGCAGGCTGGATATCGCTTTGGGAGTAAAAGCAAAAGAGAAATCGTTCGTACGTAGCCCGGGAAGGGACTAGAGAAAGCATGTACCACATCATTTTGGTGTTTCAAAAATCGCGAATCTCTGCGTCGGAGTCCCAGAAGTAGAAATTTTTTTCTTAGGGTTTTGAAAAAGTTTTTTTTTTCTTTTTTTTTTCTTCGGCCTCTTATTTTTCACAGCAGAGTGGTTGTTAGCTTCATGAATTCATCTTAATTGTATTCATCTTCAGTGTACATTCACAACATTAGAGTTTGTTCCATTCTCATTAAGTGGAAGCAGCGGACGATAGCGGCAGAGATGTCCGCAACCGGACAAGGGGGGGGGGGGTGGGATTTCAGTGCTTTGCGAAAGTGGTCCCCCTCAGACAGAACATCGGGCAAGTACGAGGTTATGACGTACTAAAGATTGGAAAGCTGGGAAACTTGCGCCTTGGAGCGGGTCCTCGGACCTGTTTGAATTTCTGCTATGCGGCAGAGTACGCATGCCGCCACAATCAAAATCGTAGGGTCCCGCCGCGACTCTCCGTATCAGCCTTGGCGGAGACTGTCGAATTTCAATTTGTTAGGTTTCGCGCCTTGTGATGTCGATTTTCGGATTCAGCGTTGCGGAGAACTCCCGGTAAGTGGATTTTCTAAAAATCGAGTTTTTGCCCGGGCACTGCCTTCACTGCGGTGCAGAATACTGTCATTGTGGCTAAAAGTCACCATCTACTCAAAAAGGTTATGTGATTTTGATCCTATTTAACAGCAGAGCCTCAAATCACAATCGCTGAAGTCTCGCGACAAATGAAATACTAAAGCGAGAAAATTGCTCCAGAAGGTAGGAACCACGCTGGCTCCGCTCATCAACGAGGGTGGTTAGAGGACAACAGGTTTAAAGTTGAGCAGTATAATGTATCCGGGACTGTTATAAGCCCTCCCTTCATTATCAAACTTACGGTCTTTTTATCTAAGACGCCCCATTTCGAACTTGTACTTCAAAGCACCCGCGTTGATAGGCGGGGCTAACGTGGCCGTTTTTACCTTTTGGAGCAGTTTGGACTTGACTTTTGCTTGCAATTAGTTAAGGGCGCCATTATAACATCAAAATCTTGGCGTTCCCAATTTGGGTAGACGGTGCCTCCCAATCAAGCTCCGTACATCACATGCTTACCTGGGTGACTTTTTCTTGCACGGAGGTACTAGATGAGGGCAGTTCAAAGAATGAGGCAAGCCATGGGAATTTATAGATTTATAGGCTCACTTAAGTGTAAACCGAGGATGTTCCCAATTGTATAATACTTTCTACCATGTCCGCAGTGGCGTACCCAGGATTTCGGCTCGGGGGGGGGGGGGCAAAAATTTTTTTCAAATGAAGGTGCGTGGCGTTAGCCACGTACTCCAAAAAATTTTAGGGGGCTTCTCAAAATTTTTGCGGGCCCCCAACTCTAAAATCTGGAAAAAGGGGGCGTGGCGTCAGCCACGCCCCCGAAAAAATTTTTTTTATAAGGCTAACTTGAATTTTTAAAAAATTTGAAAAATTATTTTAATTGTTTACAAAAATAAACAAGTCATTTGCACATTTTTATGACTCATGTAAGTAACTTTCAAAAATTTCGCGACCCGTTCTCGGGGGGGGGGGGGGGGGCCGCCCCTCCAACTCGGTACGCCACTGCATGTCCGCCATCAGCATTCCAACATTTACACCTTCAATGTGAGCATGGCTACATTTTCAAGTGAATAATAATGACAGGGCCGGGCGGAGCCGGGTAAGTCAACTAGTGGATAATAAATTTCTAGCACCGGGTAAGTCAACTAGTGGATAATAAATTTCTAGCAAAGTGGATTTTGGGAAAGAATAAGTGTGTAATTAAAGGGTCAACGCTTGTTTGTAATGAAGACAAAGTTCAATTGCCGTTGAATTGCTTCTAGAAAACACTTTCTTGTTACAAAGACTTCTGTGTACATTGAGCTTGTACATTGAGAGGCAACACTCTTGGGTTTCCAAGAGCTAGCTCCTTGAAAACAACTTCGTAAAGCACTTCGCCCATCGATATCTAGCCAAGCTTTGAAAATGAAGGTAATTAGCAGCTTTGCTGACACATGGCTGCTATTACCGTTCGTGTTAGTCGCAAAACAAATAATAAATAGATTCATCCAGATTACTCTTTTTGCAAATTTGGAATAAGGAAAAGCATATTAAACTCGCTGCGCAGTTCTCAACTCCCATGAGCGCCGAGTTTAATAATTGTATGGAACAAAATTTCCTGCTTGCTACGAATAACACATGATTTGAGCCAACTGGGGAACTCTACATTGAACGAGTATCACACCTTACATTTTCCATCGACGAGGAATTGTTTTAATACTTTGTGCACCTAGTAGAAGTCGATTTCAACATTGCCGAAAATTTTTCGGACGTTGCTTTCGGAGACTGGCGTCTTGCAATACTCAACTCCTTTACCTTGGAGATGCTTTGCGGTAATGCTCAACAAGCTTGATTAGTGAAGTGCTTCCGATCGAGTCTATAAAAATGACAAGATTCACGCCTCTTTATGTAGCAGAAATTCTTAATAGAAAACGCAGTCACAATAAGAGATACATTGTATTTTGCGCCGTCTCTCACTTCTCTGTACCGAAAACAGGCCAAAAGTTTTATTTGGGTAAAATGTGAAGCATAGACACTTCCTCGACAAAAATGAAGTCGATGTGTTACATTACGATCAAAAATGGAAGGGTTGCGTGTCGCATATTCAGTAGCTCCCTCTAGGTCTGTGAAAGTCTGTGTACTGGAACCGTTGAATTTGCACTAGATGAAACTTACTTCCCGGGTTTTGGTCTACGGCGGTTATTGTGTTCTTGCCCATCATAGGTTTCTTCGTCTTCCGAAGGCACATATTTCTGGCTAAATAAATATTCTCCAAGAGGTGAGTTTCTTATAACTAAACTTACTGTTTTTTCCCAGTTTTCTCCTTCTTATTACCTCTTCCAGTTTTCTCATTCTTATTACCTCTTCGTCCACGTGATTGCCTAGAAACACTTGAGATAAGGTTCTTCTTATTAGAGAATTCCTTGAAGGCAGCGGCTCGGCAGGTTCTCGACTCAAAGTTATTTGCTTACATGGGGTAATTCGAGGCGCTGATTCCGAAAATCCACCTTGAAGAGAGCGAAAATGGCAAACAACCATTTCCCAACGCCTCCCATTTTGAATTTGGACGAGTGGAGCACGTCCCGCCATAAGTAGAGAGGCAGAGTCGTTGCAGGACCCTCGCAGTTATAACGCTGCTGCGTGCCTTCTCTGACTGGTCAACGAGAATCACAAGCTCTTTCTCGCGTATTGGAATTTCTTGCGCGTAACGGATTTAGGGGCAGTTTTCTAAGCAGGGCAGCATGCTTTGCGCTCGGACATGCTTTGTTCTCATGCGGGTGCAAGCAACCTTCCATGTCAAAATTTCGGGATGTTCGATGGCTGTGGCGAGCTGCTGCCTTTAACGGAGCCGTCAAGGGCTGCAAGGCCTCTTCTATAGTGTCTACGACGCTATCTGATTCCCCTCCGTCCAGAAACATTCAGGTGAAATACCCAGTTGTTTGAAAAAACAGTCGGGCATAGTTACTTGAGCTGCTTGGAAATGAAGGAAGGTGTCCAACTTTGCATCGTTTACTGCCGATGATTTGCGACCTATATCAACTATACATACATAAGTCCTAGTTAGCCAGACCTCTCAAAAAACTAACTGAACATAATAATGTTATCAATCAAAAATATGAGTGTCTGACCCAGTTATCTGCACTATGGTATTAAAACCGTGCATTTAGCACTAGATGAAACTTACTTCCCGGGTTTTGGTCCACGGCGGTTATTGTGTTCTTGCCCATCATAGGTTTCTTCGTCTTCCGAAGGCACATATTTCTGGCTAAATAAATATTCTCCAAGAGGTGAGTTTTTTGTGGCTAAACTTACTGTCTATTCCTAGGTTTTCCATTCTTATTACCTCTTCCTCCAGAAGAGTGTTGCCTGGAAACACTTGAAATAACGTTCTTTCTATCAGATCTCCTTAACGGGACCGTCAAGGGCTGCAGGGCCCCTTCTACAATACAATTTGTGAAAAAAATTGGCAGCGGCACTTAACTCACGCAGCGCCGCCGCAGTTAGGTGGCAAGCGCCGCGTCGCGCGACAAAGTTAGGCGGAAAAGCGGCACTTGCCGCCTAACTTTGTCGCGCAACGTCTAACCTTTTTATAAAATAGACCTTATCTTGATTCAAAATTGATGAATTCTATACATAAGAGTACCATTCAACTCAGTTCGGCGAGGCGCATCTTCCAGTATACAGATGTGCCTAGTAGTGGGATATAAGTTTTTTTCCTGGAATTTTAGTGTAAATGGATCATTCAGTGTGCTGATTCCAGAGGCTACATACACATTCTGTTGAGCACTGCAGAAATAGGGCGGGTATAGTTTAAGAGCTCATTTTGCATGGAGATGTGTGAAAACTGGAATTTTCTCGGCGAAGTATGACGGGTCCCAAAATGCAGGAAGACAAAGGGAAATGGTTGGAAATCGCATGAGAAGCACATATCACGGAATGCCGCGCGTGCTGTGCAATGTACAATACCACTCACAGAACGGGAATCTCGCGAAATTCCAGAAATTTCGCGATTCCAGAATATCGCAAATTATGCAGCGCCATAACTTCCTTCGGAATGAATATATTTTAAATCCGAAAGCAGCATTGTGTTCAGCTCGTCAAGGCAGATCTTTCGATCTACGTCATGTCATCTATATCTTGTTTCCAGTTTTCTCAAATCGTTCTGAGAAGGTCCCTTTGCAAGTATGTAACGCAAGGCCTATCCAACATGAAAGCTTCCAGTAAGCACCAATCGATAGTGCTTTTCTTGTGCATTATAGTGCGCTAAAAAGCTGCCGCAGACTTCTTTTCAAAAGAGAACAAAGCATTGGTAAATTCTGGAAAAATCACTCGTTTCCAAATTCTACTCGCCGTAACTTTCTTTAGAGTGGACATTTTCTGAATCCGAAAAATGCATTGTGCTCAACTCATCAAGGCAAATCTTTCGGTATGCAGAGTCCTTGATTCAGCATTCTCGAAACTTTCTGCGGGCGTCTCTTCACAAAGGTGTGAAGCAGCACGTATTGCCCCCAGTAGAGAGAAATTTTCGATAGTACTTCTTCTGTAGATTATGGGGCGCTGGAAATTAGCCGCACACTTTTTCCAAAGGAGTTAGAAGTGCTGGTGAATTCTGAAAAAATCATGTCGTTCTGAATTTTTCTCAACGTAACTTTAAAATATGAAGCTCTCTTGCTAAGCAAATGTGATTTTCGTAATCAGCAGGTCGGATAACCCTTATGAGCAAGTTTTCCGAGATGTTCGGGTTATTTCATTTTCTCTCGTTTTACGCTCTGGAATGGATTTTGGTCAAAATGTTCATGCTTTTAAATTGTAAGGAAACTTCGCTTATAGAGGTATTCGAACGCGCTCTCTACAAAAATCAAGTTCTTTGAGGATTACAGGGTCTTTTGGAGAGATACGTGAGGTGACTGTAACTTCATCACGAAAGTGCGTAACTTTGCTCGCACTTCTCGCGTATCTGTCAGAAACCTTGCCTGCTTGCTTTTCTCAGTCAAAGTTACTAGGAACTGTGCTGTCGAAAGGTGCATGACGAGCCTACGAATACACATCCTCATGAATTTTGCCCAAAATGTAAAGATCGCATATTTCGTCGAAATTCCACCGTGAGTGCCTGTACAACACGCTGATCAAAATTTTTCACGTCCTTAATGGATCTTATTGTGTCAGATTTCGTAATTTGAGTTCTAGCCACCGAAATAGCTTTGATATCAACTGAGCAGCTGAAGCACACGCAAGTACCATATTCTGGGCGAAGCGAACACAATATCCGCAATGCGAGTGTCATACAAGCACTCACGGTGAAATTTCGACGAAATATGCGATCTTTACAATTTGGGCAAAATCCATGGGGACGTGTTTTCGTAGGCTCGTAACTGGGCGATTTCTGTAGAGTGGAGTCTGAGGCATGCACCCTTCCATAGCACAGTTCCTAGTAACTTTGACTGAGAAAAGCAGGCAGGCAAGATTTTTGACAGATGCGCGAGAAGTGCGGGCAAAGTTACGCACTTTCGTGATGAAGTTACAGTCACCTCACCGTATCTCTCCAAAAGACCCTGCAATCCTCAAAGACCGTGATTTTTGTAGAGAGCGCGTTCGAAATCCTCTATTGGTGCTTATTGGAAGCTCTCATGTTGGATAGGCGCTGCGTTACATAATTGCAAAGGAACCTCCTCAGAACAATTTGAGAAAACTGGGAACAAGATATAAATGACATGACGTAGATCGAAAGATTCGCCTTGACGAACTGAACACAATGCTGCCTTCGGATTTGAAATTATTCATTCCGAAGGAAGTTATGGCGCTGCATAATTTGCTATATCCCGGAATCGCGAAATTTCTGGAATTTCGCGAGATTCCCGTTCTGTGAGTGGTATTGTATAGGCTGTACCAACCAGCATCGGTTGTGCGACGTCGCACCTGCGGCAACTTGCAACGGTGCGAAGTCACGCGTGCGAACTCCGCTACGCGCTAGGGCACGTCGCATGCGACAGTGCGTCCTCGCAAGGCATACTAGCGCGGAACCGATGCTGGCTGATACAGCCTATACATTGCACAGCACGCGCGGCATTCCGCGATATGTGCTTCTCGTGCGATTTCCAACCATTTCCCTTTGTCTTCCTGCATTGTGGGACCCGTCATACTTCGCCGAGAAAATTCCAGTTTTCACACGTATCCATGCAGAATGAGCTCTTAAACTATACCTGCCCTATTTCTGCAGTGCTCAACAGAATGTGTATGTAGCCTCTAGAATTAGCACACTGAATGATCCATTTACACTAAAATTCCAGGAAAAAAACTTACATCCCACTGCTAGGCACATCTGTATATTGGAAGATGCGCCTCGTCGAACTGAGTTGAATGGTACTCTTATGTATAGAATTCATCAATTTTGAATCAAGATAAAGTCTATTTTATAGAAAGGTTAGACGTTGCGCGACAAAGTTAGGCGGCAAGTGCCGCTTTTCCGCCTAACTTTGTCGCGCGACGCGGCGCTTGCCACCTAACTGCGGCACGGCGCTGCGTGAGTTAAGTGCCGCCGCCAATTTTTTTCAGAAATTACGGGTGGTATTGTATAGTGTCTACGAGGTTGATTGATTTGATTCCCCTCCATCCAGAAAAATTTGGGTTGATTTACCCAGCTATTTGGAAAAACAGTTGAGCATAGTTACTTGAGCGTTTTGGAAATAAAGGAAGGTATCCAACTTTTTTAATGCCAATGACTTGTAGTAAGAAGCCAAACAACCTTTATCACCTTCGTATCAATCCTAGTTAGTTAGACATGTCAAAAAACTAATTAAGCAGTGGTAATATCAGTTAATAAGAAAATGCGCGACATGAGACCTAATTGTTCTTCATACTGGAGCGCGACATGAGACCTAATCGTTCGTGATACTGGAACCGTTGAATTAGCACTGAGTAAAACTTACATTACGGGCTCTGGTATAGAGCAACTAGCGCCGCTCCGCCCGTAACACTTACGTTGGTATTGTTCCTCTACCATTATATCCGCATTTTTCGTGCTAAAAAATAGTTTTCTTTGAGAAGGTAGTGAGTTTCTTGTGGTTAAACTTACGGGTCTCTTGGCTTTTCTTGATTTTTATCACCTTCCTCGGCTCCTTTTTTATCTTTATTTTTGCCAATACCGAGTTTTCCCTTGATCCAACTAAAAAACAATGCCTGCTTACACTCACCTCTTTCACTTGAATTATAGCATCTAGAGGGAAAAATACGCCTAAAAAGTTTTGCGGAACTCTACATTTGCGCGCGTCTTAAAACGTATAGTGTTTTTAGCACCTTTTTCTCATTTCTATTTCGAAGATATGACTTCCTATCTTAAGAGAAAGTAGCAAGCCTTAAAAAAGTAAAAGATCGACATTAGCAAACAATGAATGTGTGTTTGCTCTCAAATAGTGCAGTTATGGTGTATTTTTTGTCGAATTTTTTCCACCAAAATCTAACAGCTCCTCAACGCCCATTGTTGTTTCTTTTACGATCTAAAATCAATTTTAGCATTATAATGAGTACCACTTTCGAAATTTGTATCCTTTGTTTGATATAGGATAAGTTTTGGAGTTTTCAAAGCACAAAGCACAAAGGCAATCTGAAGGGCTATGCCTAAATCAATTGATTTTTCATGTCCGCAGTATTGCAAATCATCACTGCCTGTATTCACAAAGGGTTTTACAAATTTCAGCAAACCCACTCTATAGGACCCTTTTTCTTTTTTCCTTTATTTTGATCGCCCTTGATGTACTCTCTACCATCGAAGTCCTCCCTCACGAGCTCCATGTCACCGCTGTGGGGATAAATCACACGGTTGTTGCCGAAGGAACTGTTCCTGTCTTCGCGAGACTGTCTGTCCTTGAGACCGAAAGCACCAAATGTTTCGTGCTTCCCCGGACGAGGTTCTCCAGCACGATTCTCCTCCATACGACCTTCCCCACGCACAGCCATGTTCAAGCTGCTCAGCATAGACAAGAAGAATAGCAGTTCAGTACACTTCATCCTAACAAAAAATGCTTTCATATGACGAAATCGAAAAAAATGCGAGTTTGATGGAAAATCAACACGTGCGATGGCAAGACGTAAACGTAGACGTATTTGAATGACTGCATGAAGAAGCAGAAGTTAATGGATAGCTTGATGTAAAAAGGAAAAGATGAAGTTGAGCAACATTCGGTAAGCCATCTTTTCTCTTTTCTCTTTTTATCGCAAGTGCCAGCAAAAGTTACCCAATTTCCACTGCAGAGCTTCTGCTGAAGAGCTCCTTGCAGAAGATGATCCATTCTTCAATTGTTTGCTCACTTCAAGGTACATAAGAATAATTCGGGGAATTCATGATTTGAAATTGATCAAGGTTCTCTGACTCTTGTGCAACTTCTTATTAGCAGCAAGAAATTGAATGAAACTTCACAATTTGAATAAGCTTTGTGTCACATGGGCATCTTTGAAAGAGGAGTTCTGGAAGCAAATGCAGTCTTAGCAATTATAAGCAGATTGTCTCAATGCAAGGGGTGCTTACTAACAAGGGAAGGATAGTTGGATGCCGCGGCCATTCCTAATGATTTCTATACCAAAAAATGCGCCTTCGAATGCAGATTCTGAACCTGTGCTCGAAATCTGCGAAACGATCTTTTGAAGAAAGTTATGAACTTTTTTCCTTGAAAATTTAGCCTACTTTTGGATAGTAAAAATCATCAGATTTGATCTAGCCTACCGTTTGATGCTACTGAAGAAAATTTTAAACGTAATAATATTTATTTAGACTATCTGGATCATACTCAGCATTTGGAAAGAAGAGAAAATTTTTTTATTGATGATTTTGACCCTCCGCAGGAACGCAATTTTTTTAATGAAAAAAATCATAACTCCATTCAGGTTATCGTTTCGCAGATATGAAAGACAGTCTACGAACTAACATTCAAAAGCGCATTTTTTGGTATACAAATCATTATGAATGGCTACGGCATCCAAGTATCCTTCCCCTGTAAGGTTTCTAAGGAGCATCGCATCCTAGAGTGCTATGAAGCTTGCTGGATTTCATATGCATTTGATTAAATTATGCATGCCAGTTGTTAGGCTGAACTTGAAATTCTTTCGCACTATTTTCAAGTTCTTCCTTTCACAATATCCTTATAGCTTTGAAATACCTTATATACCTTTAGAAGACTTATACACCTTCAAAAGACCTTCTACACCTTATATGCCTTTGAAATCACCAGAAAGAGTTTATGTGCTTTTCAATGACATCTTCTTTCCTTCCACTCTGGTTGCAGAGAAAAAATCGGAAACGAGTTGTTTGAAGTCTGGTGAGCCATTAAAAACTAGAAACTACAATAAAATCCATCAGATAAACCAGTAGTAATCTACGCTACCTAATGGCATCATAGATCCGGCAAGCTGGCATACATCGCGGGAAGACCAACTTTTGTGTGTCCATAATTTTCCAGTCACTTCTAGTCATGAAGTCTTGACAGTCAGATTGCCACAAAACATTCATCTCATGCGCACTCGATCTTCTCGCATGGGCTCCGAAGGCGAAGCGCTATCCGATTGCCCGCTTATGCACCCTTCTCGAAAAGACTATAATAGAAATGCAAGAACGCGGGTAAGAGAGCATGATCAATACTATGTGTGACAGACTTTGGACCTGAACAAACAGCTGTTCGAAATGAACAAAAGACACGCGAAATTGCCCAAATAAGTTGAAGAAGGGATCGCAGAAAGGAAACACTAGTGTTTCGCAATGAAACTGAATCACTTTTGTACAAATCATGCATACAGCGTGTCCCAATCAGGGTCAGGCCGAACCGTCAGCTGAGTTTGCGCGCTCGCAACGCTGGGGTTCTGCTCTGCATACGCGCGCTATCACAGAGAGCAAACAGATTGAGCAGGGAGCAGATTGGCTAGCCGTAGACGTGACGCAAAACCCTCGCGACACGAACCCCCGCCATGCCAATTTTGGCCTGGTTGGGATTGAGGCAGACTGTACCAAGGAAAAGCCGCACACTGATAAAAATGATGATGTTTTGATGCAAAATAGAATTGTTGGAGTTATCTGCTTGACGTGAAATATGTGATATTGATACAATACCCAAATCTGCAGACGCCGTAAGCACCCCAAAATATTTTTTATAATGCTAATTTGCCAGAAAATTTTTTACGATGCTAATTTGCCTGAAAAATATTAGATTGTCCGGAAATTAATGTCCGTTTTGATTTCTAAGTAGGTTGCGAAGTGCTATTCGATACAGCAAAGCAAGCTCTACAAAATGGAGATCTTGCTTTTGCAAAGCTTTCATGCATCTCGAGTTTCAATCCAAAAACCCAAAAGATTCAACTTGAAGATTCAAATTAAGATTCAATTTTAACTTACAAAATTATAACAAAATGTTGAGGTACAAACGTAAATTTTCGGATTTCTACAAGCTGTAGTTCTCGAGAAATTTGAATTTTAGCATGGACACTTGACTAGAACAAAGCTACATTCGATATTTTTCGAGAACTACAGCTTGTAGAGAGCTGAAAATTTACGTTTGTACTTCTACGGATTTATAGTATACAGCTATTTACATGAAGACAGCCAAGCATAATTTGGCAAACGCACGAAAATTTCCGTTCCAAACAGAAGAAAAAAATACAGAAACGGCGATACATATCTTATGTGGATTGTGTTTACGTGAGCAAGTTATTTTGTAGGATTTTTATGAACTGAGTTACGATTTTTCTCGATTTTTAGGGCAGTTGAATCTTTTAAGTATTTGGTTCGAAACTCGAGAGCTTTGCAAAAGCAAGATCGCCATCTTATGAAGCTTGCTTTGCTTTATCGAATAGTACTTTGCAACCTATGCAAAAATGAAAAGTGTATGGCGTATTATGTTGAAGTTCAAAACGAACACTAGTTTTCGGACAACTCAATTTTTACAACGCTAATTTGACAGAAAAATATTTCTTACAATGCTAACTTGAATTTTTTAAAAATTCAAAATTTGAATTAAAATTTAAAAATTTTGATTATTTCATAAACATGTCACTTACAAATTGTTATAACTCACGTAATTAAATTCAAAAATTTTGCGATCGATTCTCGGGGAAGAAGGGGGGGGGGCTCCGCTCCCCCCTCCCCGTCCCTTCTCCTCTCCCTCCCCTCGGTCCGCCATTGCTGGTGATTGTCTGTCGATTTAAGTAGTATGTCAATCTAACTCACGCCAAGCACATAACTCCAAAAATTCTATTTAAAACATCATCGTTTTAATCAGTATGCGGTCCTATTTCTAACTGAGACGTTATAGTCCCGCAAGAATTTTGAGAAGCACCTCAAAAAATTTTTTCGGAGTACGTGGCGAACCACGCACCTTCATCAAAAGGTAGCGTCGAGGCAAATCTGGACCATGGGAATTTTATGTGGAATGTAATTTCGGGGCCCTAACTAAGGCACCGTCCAAGCGGCAGCTCAGGTAACTCGCTACGGCAGAGATATACGCCACCAAATTGGACCCCAGGATTGTATTTAGCATGGATTCATGACGCAACCCATCAATTTTGCGCGAGAACCCACGCGTTGCGCCGTGAATCCATGTGGAGTACAATCCTGGGGTCCAGTTTAGGGAAATATCTCAGCTGGGGCAGTACCTGAGCTGCCGGTTAGGCAATGGTTTAGTTAGGGCCCCAAAATTACTATCTACTTTATATCCCCATATGTAAAGATTTGCCTGGAGCTGCCTTTAGTGGGTGTTCTTCTCTCCCGCCCCCCCCCCCTTCCCCCCTCCCTCTCCCCCGAACGTTCAGGTACCACCACTGACCGCCAGCAATATGCTGGCACTTTTTCTCTCAAGCAAACTATTTCTCGTGCTTTCTCCTGCCGGCAGTATCATGATGTGCCGGCAGGCTAGTTCGCAAAGTTGCGAGCTGCACCTTCTGTTCTTTTCGGTATTTTTCCTTGGAGGGATTTTCTAATCTCAAACTGCTATGTAAGTTTCTTCAAAGCTGTGGCATTTTCGTAAAAGGGTTTAAAGGCTTGAATGTGGGATCTTATTTTTGCCTACCTCACGTCGAGGTGTTGGCGAAACTTTCACGATGCCGAGCGGGGGGGGGGGAAGCTGCTGTGACTGCTGTTCATTAGCTGCTGTGATGTCACAGGTTTTCTGATCTCCTATTTTCAACCAAGCTAATTTTGTACCGATTAAACTCTTCATTGGAAATTTATGATAATCGAGAAAACAGCAGAAAACGGGAAAATTGTTTTTTTTTTCAACCATTTTTTCAAGAAACTACTTTTCATGAACATTCCATCAGCACAAACTTAACTCACTTGGAAAAGGAAGTGTGGAAACTTATCGCACCGGCTGTTTCTGATTTATTGCAGATTTTTTTAGATTTTTTAGAGGCTTGCCTCAAACTACCAAATTTACAGGAATTCCTTTTTCCATTTTTATCCATGTAATTAAGCCCAGTAGTGAGCAAGCCAGTCGTTATAAATCAATTCATGATTTATCTTTTCCGATATTAATGGTATGCAAGATTATCATGGCAGAAAGAAGTTACGTTTTTTGGAGTGTTGCGATGGAATCTCGGTTCAATTTGATGGAATGGAACCAGTAGCGCTGCCTAGAGTTATTTATCAAAAAACTTAGCAGCTAGGGAGGAGACAAAACCAATTTGAAATTTGAACAATGTACTACATATTACACAGGCGTCACTAAGGGGCCCTACTATAGGATACAATATTTTTTTGGAACCTTTGGCATATTTTGCCGTATGTTGTAGCTCTTAATTACTTACATTACTCCAAACTTGTCGCTTTCGAAAAGTAAACAGTGTGCTTTGTAATTACCTTTGAAAACAGAAATACTGAGAATTGCCTAATTTCAAGTTAGAAGAAGGCATTTGATTACGCGCTCGCAGACATCCTGAAGCGACCTAATAGGAAGACTACATACTTTCTCATCGAAATAGTGGGCTGTAGTAGTTACACTAAAGAAACTGGCCTTTGGGCAAAAGGTGAGGCAAAATA